TTTTTTTTTTTTAATTTTAGTTGTCCCATCCTATAATTTTTTTTTTTATTTGAGTCCCATTCTATACTCTTTTTTTTTATTTGAATCCCATCCTATATATTCCATCTTATAAGAACAAGGGAAAACTGATCATACTAACTAAAAAGGTTTCTCCAAACAAAATTAGGGATAGGTAATTGCACCCACGAAGTTGGGACATTCCCGTTCTTGCAAATTGCCGAGATAATGATCCATATGGGGATTTTTTATGGAGGCAAATTTTTGCGAGGATCTTCTACCTCCACAATCTATATTATATCATTAATTTAACTATTTTTCTTTTATCATTTTTCATATTAAAACAAAATAAAAGTAACCATTAGAAATTGAGAATTGACATTAGTCACAAAAAGAAAATGATATATCTTGAAATCTATCTTTTAACCAAATAAAAAACTTTACTTGAATCATCTTGAATATTTTGTTCTCATCCCACTAATAATTTTTTAAAAGATCTATATTTTTGTTTATCCAAATTGTTCAAACCACAAGTAAAAAATTGAGAATCTTAACTTTTCAAAACTTACCATCTAAATGATTAGAAGACAAATATAAATTGTATATCTATCATTTGTATAGAGAAGTCAGTATTGGAAGACAACATATGATTATTTTCTAATTATTTTGGCTTCTTTTTATTTGATTAGTTTTAGTAGAATGACTTATTCTTTTGGGGAATATATTTTGAAAGATTTATTTAATTTTTTCTTCACAGATAATTCTATATAGTATACAATACTTGATTTATAAATTTTAAATAAATATAATTAACCCCTTTCAAAAAGTTTTATAAACTGTAATGGTCACCATCATATTAAATTTCTTTTAAAATATATGTATAAGTTATTTGACTTAAAAAATTACCTTATAAAAATATTTTTAAAAAAGTTTTAAAAACAACCAGGTCAATTTGTGAACCTGTGGGTTGACCTATGTTTGACTCGTGATCCATTTAGATTGACTTGAACAGGTCACAGGTCCAATACTACTAGACTCTAACTTGCTTTTTATAGTTGAGTTAATGAGTCAGGTGTGAATTTGTCACTACTAATAGGAGGTAATTTTATCTCATCTCTTAACTCATTCCACTTATATATCATACGATTCAAACTCAAGATTTCTTATTTTTAATGAAAGAAGATTACCATCAGAAAAATATTACCATTGGAAGAAAATTACTATTGAACTATTTAGATTATTGACTCATTTTACTAATTTAATTAGTTGTTTTAAACCAATTATAATTGGTAAGTAATATCTAATAGCTAATAATATTTAAATCGTAAAGAATAATAACAAACATCAATCATTAGAGGTTTCGTTTGAATTATAAATAACAAAAATATTAATCATTAAATATCCTCCATCATAAAAACAGTTTAGAACAATCAAACCAAATAAATTTTTTTAACCTTTACTAACTATCATCCCCCATCCTAGTTTAAAAAAAAAAAAAAAATTGAGTGAGGGTGTCTTTGTGTTAATTTTTGCACTCGTTGAGATTAATCCTTATCTGAGTGATCTTAAAGGCCCATTGTCCACATCACTTGATGCGTTTAAATAAATTAGTTTCTTTAAAAACCGCTCTAAAACTTAAATCTTAAATCTAATACATAAGAATACACTTGTTTAGTAGTTATTTTAATCTAATACTTTGGGATGTACATACGTGTGTGTATGCAAAGGGCTTTAAATGCTAAGCCTAAATCCAGAACTAGTGGGCCAAGCAATTATTATTTTTTTGAAACGGTCCATCACGATGAATAACCAAACCTTAAAAATAGTCAGGAACTGAGCCTAAAAGAAGTGTAGGCCTAACAAGGTAAGGCCAGCAAAAACGGACACAACCCAATGAAAACAACGGACTCTGAAAATAAAATTACGTTTTCGTCGTACGCGGTGTTCCCAGTTTCCCGCTACTCTACAGCCACCACTGCTCCCTCAGGTGCGCATCTCCAACTTCGATCCTCAAATTATAGTTCCAGAAGGAGGCTTATGGGTGGAATTGATGCTATTTTTATTAAAATCGGTTTTTGATTGTAATTTTTCCTATTCTCTATGGATTTGGATCTACTTTAGATCTAGGAGTTCTCAGTAACCATCTAATATGATGTATTATTATCTGAATTCTGTTCTTTGATTGAAACCCATTAATGTGCTCTGGGATTTTGTGAAAATTTTGTAGATTTTATATGATTTTTATATTGGTATCTTTATGTTTTAAGTGTTGAATTAATGAAAGTGGGAACTGATTATTATATCTTAGACAGAAAGATGGGATCGTGGTTCTGAACCTAAGTTGGGAATCTATCTTTGTTAACCTAATAATGTTTTTTGGTTTGTTGTTCCATCTTAGATTGTGAAAAAGGTTTTAGGGTCACATAGGTTTTTTGTGAGTAATGTTTAATCTCTTGTTAACAGGGTGATAGTGACACTGAGGAGGAGGAGAGTGATTATTAAGATGAGGTTGAAAACCAATTGTTAGCAGGATGATGATTAATGAAGAATTGCATGCAAGTTGGGACTAGCCAACTAGGTGTATTGTCTTCCACGATGTTGAGCACACAAGGCTGTATGGTGTTGATATTCCAATTGACTGAGAAGCTTTTAGTTCTTGCTGAAAGCAATGAGAGGGCAGTAGAAGCAAGTATTGGTGGTGGTGGTGGTGGTGGTGGTGGTGAATTGGATCTGCCCATCATGCAGAGAGAAAACTAGGATTTTGTAGATGGGATAACTTCTACTGGTGGTAGGTGGCAAGACATGTCTTTCGCTCACTGGAGGCAAGGTAGTGGCGGTCGTACAAGATATGGTCTTGGTGGTGGAAAAACACTGGCTTTTGGTCAAGCTACTGGAGGAAGCTATTGGTTCGATCTGTTGTGAGTAGCAGGTGGATATCCTGGGAGGATTGCTTCATCGGTCAAAGGTTCCCAGACAGATGCTTCAATCTGCATGGTCAATCTTAACCATGGGGTGCGAGCTTAAATGATCATAGTAGCAAACCACTAGTGGAGGTGACTAATTTTTAGGGAATTCTGGTTTTGTTTCTAAAATGTAGTAGACTAGACCATTGAGATGCAAACAAAAAAATAACAATCAATAGAAGTTTCGGTGATAGCAAGCATATACATATCTAAAGCATTTGATGTATCAAATTGGATGAGTAGCAAGAACATCCTTTTGCCCTAGTAGCCACCTCTCCCTTGTTAACAGACTTCTCATGCTTATGACTTGACAGTGTGGGATTCGAGTTCCACCCACAATGTTCAAAAAAAAAAAAAAAAAAGGATGAGTAGCACTAGGACAGAAGCCTACTATACGTTTGTATGCTCCATTCATTTATGTATATGCTCACTAATAAGCAAGGATTGAGGATTGGCAATGGCAATGGCATGCAATGTTACGTAAATCAAAAGGTAAAATGGTAATTTGGTCCTGCTTAGTTTAATTGTTAAGGAACATTCGATAGCTAGTTGATATTCTATATTGGATAGTTATAGTTATTGTAACATGAATCATATCCTAAGGTAATTTTATACAGTTATAAAAATTGCAAACAATCGTGTAATTCAACTTTAATTACAAGCATCAAAGCTCATCATCTATCATTTACATGCTATAAGTGTAGTGAATCTAAATTAGGTCTTTATTTTTTTTTATATTAACTTTTCAATATTCGATAATCATATTGAGTTTTGATTAATTTAAAATCAAATCACGTTAGATCTTATATGAGGAGAAACTCTCTTTAACATTTATTTATCCATTTATAAGACTTGAATTTGAGACCTTATTAAAAAGAAAATTGAATTTTTTTTACTCAGATCAACAGATCGTTGGTAATTAGGTCTTTATTTGATTGAGAAATTAATTAATTTTAATAATTAAACCAAATAAAATTTATATTTTTTTCTTTTTACTTATAGTAATAAATAATAAGTAAAATGATATCATATTTTTGATTGGGTTACAATTTTTGGAAAAATGGAGATTCGAACCAATCTTAAGATTAGAAGTGCACTTGATCATCAAGTGTATAGCCATTGAATCACAAAATTCAAGTGTTAATTTAACATGTATTTAAATAAAGTTTATAAAAAAAAATTCTCATTCTCGAAAGTGATATTTGCATTGGAAGTTCTCGAAACTTTTTTTTTTTTTTTTCATTTTTAAAAGAGGTCCATTGGCATTAACCGGCTTGGTAAGTGCATTCCCCCCTCCCCTGGGTGGGTTTCGAACCCACCCCGTG